CTAAAATCAGAAATTATATATTTTGCAAAGAACAAAACTTTAATACCTGATTTTCAAGCATTGTCCTGGTCTGTCTGATACAGGCATCTTAGTAGGTCTTTTCCCCTTTTTTTACAGCGCAGTTTTTACGTGTATATAGTAGAAATTTTATTGTAACATTTTTATCTAAAAAATTCAATGAACCCTACTTGCAGCATTGCAATTTTGTTTATAAACGTTTAATAAAATTAGTAAAAAGAAGCGAGTGAAAGCCAGCTCTTTTCTTACAGCAATTGACATCTTTTATTCACATTTTTTTAGCTAATATGGGTGTTTTTCATGATAATGGTTCAAATTATAAAAATAGACCATCAGGATCATTTTTGAATATCTCATGCAGTTACTCATAGCTATAAGTTAATTTTAATACTTATCTACTCAACTTAAAAACCACAAGACATGGATCATGTTTTTTAACTCGCTTGTTTTCCATCTTCGTAGATTATAGTCCAATCATTTCAATAATAATGCTCACACATACAAATGCCGTCATGCAATGTCCATTCAATATGTTTATACCATTCCATACACAAATAATCGACGTAAGCAATAAAGGGGATACTGGTATTATGAATCACCATTTTAATAGATTACTGTTTACGATGCACTCTTAAGGTAACTTCAAGCGGAGGAAAAGGGATCACTTCAATACCCCAGTTATATCATCACTCAAAGAATGCTTAGTGCAGATTTGATCTCCTACGAATGTCAGCTGCTCACCTTTAGGTGGGCTCATATAACAATGGGGCCCATGATCATTATATGAACAAACAACTGACATCCACAAAAATCCAACCTGCAAATGAACATTTTTGGCCATGAATCACAATGACACATGAGAAATGATAAACTAGTAAGACTAATTGAAGTGAATGACACAGGTGGTAACGGGACTTTCACAACTCTATCCATGTGGGATCTACAATCTAAGCTAGAAAATATAAAACACATATACGACATTTCATGAGGAAGAACTCTACATATGACGTTAGTTTGCGTTTTTAAATTCTTAATCAGATGTATTGAGAATGAGCAAATTGTTATATGTTTTCTGTTTGACTATCCAAATGGTACAACATTCACCACCATTGCACGAATAGCTTTTGTTGGTTAAGTTAGAAAGATGTAACAAGTTTCAAACGATCAAAGGCTTTACATCGTTATCAAAGCATTTTACATTGAAAGCTTTCATATTACGAGGCCTAGCTTTCGTATTACGAAAATATTTTATTGTGATTAGCTCCTTAGGAGCTCTTCACCTTTTACAAAGACAATAAGTAATTATCCTTCAACGTATCTAAATAAAAAAATTCATCAGAATCTTCAGATTTTTTGCGTTTTAATGTCGGTATGTAAAGCAAAGATGCATGATGTTGTAGGCTAAGATTCGTGAGACGATAATGAATTTATAAACTAGACTTTAATTTCGTCCAAATATTAATTGAATCTTGCAGTCATGTCTTGCTGGGTTAAGGTAAAGATCGGGTTTAAGGGCGTTCTGTTTTCTCCGAGGTTCTACTACTAAAAATATAGTAGAGAGTCGTAGAAAATTGAGCAAAAAAACAGTTACGGTTCTCATTTATTGCAAGTCTACACCTTAATCTATGAAAGCTGCACTCATTCACATAGTGCACTGGAAACAGATGACAAATTTAGTGTATTCATATTCATTGCATATATTCAGTTATAACTAATGTGATATTGAAGAAACAAACCGGAAATCAGTAGCATCAATAAAAAACCATTGAGATTTTCACAAGAACAATAGAGATAAATCGAAAAACAAAGAATAATTTATCGTCAGTTTAGTCACTTACATTTGTAGTTTCCAGCCGTAGGATCTATTTTCATAAATGATATCGAAACAAGTAGCTACGTGTGTCACACATTTTATAAGGGTTTTCCTCTTTCAAATTTCTTTTTGCAGATGCTATCAACATTTAGGATGTGATACTGATAGTATTTATCTGTACATCGTGGCTTTCAAATAACTTGTCATCGAGGAGAGTTGAAAGCAACAACTTTATATTGATTGGCACAATCACAAATCTTTATACTTGTCTTCTATGTGCAAAGTCTTGTTCCATCTTATATGAACAACATCTGCCTTCCATGACGCCTCGTGATTTATATGTGGCTTGAAGTGAATAGTATCTTTATAAATAGTGTTAAGCATGTCATTATATCTATTTGTTCAACATGATTGTTTAACCCTCTGGGAGCCTTGCCTTTTCAAAGGTTCTTACACATCTCGTTTGGTGATTGTTGCCTGTGACGAACAACGGTCTCTAGAGTGTTAAAACTCATTCTTTGTACTTGAACAAATTACCGGATATCAATCTAATCTAATTTTTGAAAACAAAACGTATTGTTGCCAAAGAAAAGAACGATGCTCTCCCTACATTAATATACGTGAATGCTAATAACAATTTTCTGCGATATTACGCCAATCATTTATTAATTAAATTTATTAAGCCTATTAAATAACGCAAACATTATGATTTTAGGCTTGAAGATGTTGGTGACGTCAATCAGAGCGAACTTAAACCATTCTTACAACCTTAACTTATCAAGATATGACTGCAAGATTCTATTATGATTTGGTCAAAATTAAAGTCTAGTTTCTAAATTCATTTAGGTCTAATGAATCCAAACCTACTCCACAACATCATGCATCGTTACTTTTCATAACGACATTAAAACGCAAAAGAAATCGTGAGATTCTAACGATTTTTACATTTAAACGCGTTGAACGTGTTCGAGACGTGGTCTATTGACAACTAAAGATTTGGTCACAAAATCCTAGTTTAAAGATGATTTCTTTTGTTTGTATTCAAATAGCAAAAAGACCACCGTGATCCTTCATAATAACTTCATATTATTTCAAACAAAATTTAACACATATGAACTCATTTAAGTTCTATAAAACCTGGATCATGTTTTTCATTCTCCTCTTCTGCATTTGCCTCTTTTAATCTTTATAGAATAAAGTCAGTTTTCATAGTCCAATGTAAATGTTCATAAATACGATTGAAGTTTTAAAATATTCTTTAATAAATTTATAACATTCCATTATAGTGTAACCTCCATATTTAACCAATACAATACAGATATCAAAATTCGTTTTTTATGAACACATTTACCACTCTAAATTTAAACTACTTTGTGACAAATAGTAAAATCCTTCACATTACAAAGAGTATAACAAGACCTGTTGATTTCTTCCATAAATATTTCTTACTTCGCCAGTAAATACACAGTACTTACATTTTATCTCTATAAAGTTAATGCTACTTGACTGACGTTAACGTAAACACATAAGAATTAAAATATTTTAACGCTTCTGAAATTAAGTGAGGGCGCAGAGTAAAAATTATAGAGAAAGGTCACTCAGGTGTACAACGCGTTCTCACTTTTTTCCAACCATTCAAATTACATGACGTCAATACTAAATAATGAGTCAAGTATATTTTGACTTCGTGTAATAAAAATTAATGCCCAATATAAAGTTCAGATTAGAGCCATAGAAATAGACAAAAAAACAAATTGTAAAATTAAATTTATTGTAACGTTTTGTCTTTACTCAAGACATCTTCAGAAAAATAATAAATAGGATATTAAGACAAGATATTATATTTACAAAAGGTGTTAAATTACTACTAAAGGAGGCGGTGTCAAATGGATATATGATAAGGAAGTTAGGAAGTAAAATAAAGAGAAATTAAAAGAGGTTAAGTGGAATGCAGTTTCCTTGCACATTAAGTTAAGGCTTGTATTTATTGATTAGAAGGCTTTCATGAATGGAGAGTTCATAAGTATGGTTGGAAGAGGAGATTATTTTAAAGTCGTCTAAGTTAAGGGTGTGTCCAGTTGCGTTAATGTGAGCGAGAATGCTTGATAACGCAGGGTGGGAAACTTGGTTGCCTGTAAGGGGGGATATTCCCAAGTGCTCCGAAAATCTGGGGTGTAGATGACGTGTGGCTTGACCCGCATACGAAGCGTTGCAGCTTCGACACTAGAATTAATAGACTACACCAGATCTCAGAGGTTTGGGAATTATGTCCTTAAAGTGGAAGAAAGAAGAGATACGTTGGGAATGGCGTAAAACAAATTTAATAGATATATGTGGGAAGGCTGCAGCACAAAGGCTATTGATTTGTGTGCGAATTTGAAGGGAGTGTATGCCGGTGAAAGGAAGACAAAAATAGATGGGCATTTTGTGAGCAGTCAAGACAGGTGGTTTGGAGGCAAAGGTGTTGTTTAGGAAGCGACGTGTGATTTGGTCAATTATACTTGAAGGAAAACCGTTTTTGGTGAGTGACTTTCTGCTAAATTCGAGTTGTGTATGAAAATTTTCGTAAGTAGAACAAAGGTTGAAGATGCAGTGAAGTAAGCAGGAGACTAATGAAAGTTTGTAAGTAAGTGGGATGAAGCTGTGGAAGTTGGTGAAGAGACCAGTGAAAGTAGGTTTGCGGTAGACGGAAGTGGTGAATTTTCCATTAGTGCGAGAGATATCAATGTCAAGAAATGAGAGCTTTCTGTTTTGTTCAACTTCAGCTGTGAATGTGATGTCAGGGTGTTGTCGGTTCAGATAGTCAAGAAAGAGAGGGACGTGATCGGAGGAATGAAAAAGTAAAAAACAGTCGTCAACGTAGCGTCGGTAAAGTAGTGGTTTGAATGAAGAAGGACATTTAGATAATATTTACATTCTTTAATAGCAGGAAGTAACACATTCCAAGAAATAGTACCGATAAATTTAAAAGATCTTTTGCAAAATTGGTCCAAATTTATTTGTGGTAAATATACATAATTTCTTAAAGATTGCCTGGTAGAATAATTATACTTCTTCTGTAGAAGACTATAGTAGGTGGAAACAAGCAACCATCCTTACGACCATCAACATCTATGTTCAATTTTCTCAACAGCTTTTGAATTTACTATTAAAGTTGGAGTTGATGTATTTATTCAGGAACATTAAGTTTTAAAAATTGAATTCGGCAATCTATATTGTCAACCAAAGCTAAAGTTCCTGTGTTGGAATGCATAGTTATATTAGGCATGAAATAATCTCCTTCGCGAAATTTAGCGCATACTTTACCACTCTTTAAATCTACAGCACGCAATGACTCAAAAGACACTACAATGCAATAAGATTTGTGTACGACTAGGTTGGATTCCAAATATAGTTTCCCGACATCATGCAAAATCTCATTCACATCACCATTCTCGTGAACATTAATTACATAAATGCCCTTACATCTGATGCCTTTGCAAAATGTTATGACTGCTTGTTTACTATCACTTATACAGCAGTTGAACTCTAGATCATTTTCAGTTATCTGTTTCCAAACAAATTTTTCAATGACAGGTGTTATGGGTATTTCTGCAGGATGCCAAGGTTTTAAGTAAAGTTCATAGTTGTTATTTCACCATTTCCATAGTGTGTATTCTGTTTTGTTTACAGTTAAATCAACCGAATTATCAGGTGATACAGCTGCTGCCTTCAATTCAAAACTGTCGACAAGAAGTATTTTGTTGCATTTTATCTTACCCTTGGTAATTTTAACAACTTGAACAAAATATTTATGGTGTTTACAAACTAAGACATCACCAAATGTTAAGATTTTCTTAGGTTCAAATCCAAAGTTAACTTGCTTTGCTTGAGAAGAATCTACAAAATTTTCAGAGGAAGTGGACATCTTCAAAAGATGATCAGAACCATCCCAAATCCACAGTAAACCATCTGACCACCAACATTTAAATGCATTCTTCAGTTGCATTGGTACAGTTTGAATAATAGTGCAACGCTCAATGCTCCAAATATGAATGTTGACGTGGTCACCAACAGCGAAAGCAGCCAAAAAGATCCATCCGGTGAAAACAACAACATTCAATTTTAAATTTCTCAAAGATAAATGAAGGTCTCCAAAGATGATCAGTTTTGAAAATTTTAAGCTTGGAAAAATACGGCACAACGTAAAATTCCTTAAACGAGATGGGATGGACTTTGTTAAGATTCCTACGAAGACATTGACAACTAACATTTGGTAAACAAAACTCGATTTCGCCTTGATCGTTGTATTTTGTCAACTGAGTGATTTCAGAAAGCTTTACAACCTGGTTTGTATGATAACAAAACAACTACGATAATGGTGGGTTGTCTTTGAATTTGAAGATAGTGAATACCTATTTTTCTTGCAAAATATCGATTGCCTTTGGGAATTGAAAACATACGAACGATATCCAAAGACTGTAACAAAGAACTCTGAACATTTATCGGTGCATTGTAGTTTTTGGTAATCAACAACGCAGCGTCGATCAATTCTTTGCAAAGTTAATGAATTCCATGCAGTGAATTTAAACTGAAAACCTCCATCATTCCTTGCTGTAATAAACAAACCAGAATCTGAGAAAGAGCAACGATTAACGACATCATCTGACTGTAAACATGATAGCAAACGTCCATTGTTAACGTCCCACAATTTTACTTCAGTAGATCCATCACTAGTTACCATTCTATTTCCGGTAGGTGAAAAGGAGCAACAACAGATGTTTCCACGTACAAAACACGATTCGTTTGATGTTGTTGAATTGTGATAGATGTCATACCGGGACATAATTTTTCTTACATTTAACTTACCTAACCTTGTATCATCGAGAGCAGTGTCAAGAGTGAATCGTTGTTCGAATTGAGGAAGTTCAAAAATATATATTTGACCATTTTCATATCCTACAGCAAGAAGTTCTTCATTGGACGACACACAAAGAGATGTAACGTTAGCACGTAAGGAGACAGTCAAATGATGATGATTTGTTAAATATGTTGAGTCTAAATCCTCGAACCAAACAAACTTTCCTTGTTTTACTAAATCCCTTGCCAATAATCTTCTTTCGTTTTTGCTATCAATTCCGTTTGTAATAATTTGTAAATAAATTAAGCTATGACCAAACTTATATCTCATTCTCATTGACTTCATCAATAAATGAAATAGTAGCTCTTCAAGTACATCTTTTTTCAAGAAAGTACGCCGCTCTTTAATGATTTCACGCAATTCAGAGTCAATGGTATGCATGCCAATGTCTTCTACACCCATTAACCTTGCACAAACCACTTTGACATCAACTGCCCAGCAAAAGTCAACATTTTCGCGAAATTCTATCATATGGTGGACTCCATTCTTCAAAGCATATTTAATCTTAGCAGTGTCCATCTGATTTTCAAAAATGTTCATGGACTTAATTTCTTTGAACACTTTCTCACAAGCATGCCATAAGAACTTATGACCATTTTTTGGATCAACAGTAAACTCATGCTGTTCGTAACCATCTGATTTCAACCAATCAATTAGAGATTTGTGATACACGGTTAAATAATCATCGTAAGCTGGCAAAATTTGAGATAACGGTTCAATGATTTTACTGCGGACTTCAAACTTGATGTCATCAGAAAAACCTAAATAGCTAAACAGGAAAGTTAATGGTAAAAACTCCCGAGAGGCAGCCAACAATTCAAGAAATTGCACGAAAGTAGCTTCTGAGATAACAGATTTTCTGGTACTTTTCTTCGTTAACAATTCTTTTACTCTTTTGAATTGCTTTGTGTAAACACCGCTTAACCCACTAGAGACCAATTGTTGAATGTTTTCGTAAGTAAGCTCAATTTCTTCTTTCTTTAAGCTCAGTTGTGCGTGATAAGCGTAAAGAAATGATCCCTCACATTTTTTAACTAATGACTGAAGAAGGTAGCGATTTTTCTGCACCCGATCATTCAACTGATGTCTCAAATATTTGTGCAGGTCTTCTTCGCTGTTTTCATCACGAGGACGAGTTTTAATTTCCACAGGATTCATGTCTTTCAACTCTTTTTGAACAGGAAGTTCTGGACGACTGGTGATGAAGATTTTATTCCATTTAGGCAGTCGGTCAAACTCTTCTACAATCAATTCCAACAATTCACTTTTGCCGTCAACTTGACTTTCATCTAAGGCATCAATAACCAAAAGCATTGGTTCATGACCTTCCAATGAATGCAATGGATTATTTAATAAAACAAAGAACTTATCGATGATCGATTCTTTGGAATTATTTCTTTGTAATTCTTCATTCAGTTTACTTTTAAAATTTGATATTGTATCACACATGCTACTAGCCAATGATTCTATCAATTTTCGAGGATCTCTATAATCTGATCTATTATATCTGCAGAAATGACAAGCAGCAAGTTTCTTCTTTTCAGAATATCGTCGACACACCTCAGCAGCAAACACACTTTTACCAACACTAGGACCGGCAATCAAAATCATGACGTTAGAAGCATCTTCACTTCTATCGTTAAACCAAGTGTCGAGTTTTTCAAATAACCATTGTCTAGTGCCTTCAAGGTATTTCTTAATAAGATCTTTTATAAGACCATTAAACTTAAACTTTGCAAGCTTATTGGCATCTGAGCATATTTTGTCCTGTATAATTTCTCTCACTCTGGTTACATCAGTTTTTGTTGCCATCTCTTGTTTAATTTCTTCAACATCATTCTTAGTTGACATGCTTTCTTTGATTTCCTCTACTTCACTTTTTATTACTTTCACATCTTTTATGGTTTTCTCTACGACTTTGATTAACTGTCGGTCTTCTTCATACCATTCTTTTAACATTTCAATATAATTTGCCTCATTAGGACTGAGAGGATCTTCCTTTAATACATCTATTTCAGTTTGGTGAATACCCAAACCAACCAATGCTTTTGAGATTTCATTCCACAAATACTCAAACTCACTGTCATCCACACTAGTTGTAGTTATGTGACTGTACACTTTGTTTCGATAAAACTTTATTCTAGCAATGTTTGCTGAGATTGAGGTATCTGAAGAGGAAGGAAGTTTATTCCATCCTCCAGTTGGGGATTTTAGATTACATATATTTCGCAATAAAACAGTCAATAATGTGATGTCAAAGTTTTCAATGTCAGGGTCACCAATTGACGGATAAAGAAGATCCCACTGCTCATTCTTGATGACTTTAAATTTCAAAGATGTTAGTGTCTTCTTTGTAGAGGGATCTTTAAGTTTACCAGCTAAACTTGATGACTTTAATAAAGATTGCAATGTTGTTTTTAAGGCTTGGGTTCCTTTATTGATTAAAAGTTTACTCAAACGAGATCCATTTTCCTCAATGTTTAATTTTTAGGTTCTAGAAATGAGGAATGTTATAATTTAAAATTAAAATTAAAAAGTTAAATTAAAAATAGTACTACAAGTCATTTATAAAGACTTGTGTGCTTCATTTCTTTCTCTCGATAAAAATTGTGTTCACTGCCTAGTGACATGACCCAGTAATTGATCTTACATCAAGGCATAAAAATAGTAGACTTGATACAATGAAAAAACACTTAAAATGATAATATTATTGCCCACTCGGATCGAGAGGCAGCTTATACCTTAGGATAGTAACTCCTAGTTAATAAATAATATATCTTATTTGTCTAACAATTGTGTGGTTAAGAGATACCTCGTTCTTTTAACAGGATATATCAAACTGGTTTGCTGTGTTGTATGAATATTTGCTTATTAACATTTTGATAGGACTATATTACTGATGATTTTGTTCCAATTTAAATTTTTGATAGACTTGAGTTTAGCGAACACCGGAAGCGCTTGTAGTCGCGGGCTCGTTTTTGCTTATGACTATAGGGTAAGGTTTAGGTCAGCGTCCAAGGTGTCCGCTAAACTGCAGTAGTCCACCATAGATCTCCGATCTACTTTACATTTTCCTCACCACAATACAGAACATAGGCTGAGAGATAAACAACGCGACATATGAATAAAATACCGAACAAATATAAGTACGGACTGCACACAATATCAAGTTCCTGGTATTTCTTGCCCAAACGAGATATATTTGTATGCGTCTGTAATCACCAGTAAAATGTATAAATGAATGATATTTTCAGCTGCAAGGTTTTGACTACAGTCACTATAGCAAAATGCAGATTATACGCTCTAAAGCTTAGGTAATTGAAGAACAACATAAGTATTGACTTTACTTAAAACAATTCTATTCGTGATCGTTCGCATATGCCGACTATCACCGATAACACAGTCGAGGATATCACGACGAACAAATACGGCCTGCCTCACTGCCTCACTCAGACACTTTTTCAGTATGGCATAGTGGTTAGCCGCGCATGCACAGCAGCTCCCCACAAAAACTAACTAGTGATAAATTATATTATTGTTATAATACAGTATAACTTGACGTCTACAACTGCTCCCCCCCCCCAAAAAAATGTTGTTCCTCCCCCAAATTTTACATCCTAGCCACATGCCTGCGCAATCAAAATCATGACGTTAGAAGCATCTTCACTTCTATCGTTAAACCAAGTGTCGAGTTTTTCAAATAACCATCGTCTAGTGCCTTGCAAGTATTTCATGTTAAGATCTTTTATAAGACCGTTGAAATTGCACTTGCCAAGTTTCTTGAGATCAGAATATAGTTTGACTTACAACATGTCTTTTACTCCAACAACATCAACTATTGTAGTCATCTTTTCTTTAATTTCTTCTACTTTATTTTCCATAGTTTTTAACATTTCAATATAATTTGCTTCATCGCGACTGAGACGAGCTTCTTTCAATTCATCTACTTCAGTTTGTTGAATACCCAGACCAACCAATGCTTTTGAAATTTCCTGCCACAAGTACTCAAACTGACCGTCCTTTAAACTAGTTGTAGTTATGTGACCGTACACTTCGTTTCGATAAAACTTTATTCTTGCAATGTTTGCTGTGATTGAAGTATCTGAAGAGGAAGGAAGATTATTCCATCCACTATGTGGCGCTGTTAGACCACATATGTTACGCAATAAGACAGTCAATAATGAAATATCAAAGTGTTCAATGTCAGGTGAGCCAGTTAATGGGTAAAGAAGGTTCCATTGCTCCTGGCTGATGACTTTGAATTTTAGTGGTGTCAATTTACTCTTTGTAGAAGGATCATTAAGTTTATCTTTCAAGTTTGATGATTGAAGGTTTATAATGATTTGCAATGTTATTTTCAAAGCTTGTGTTCCTTTATTGATTAAAAGTTTACTTAAACGAGATCCGTTTGCCTCAAACTTCAGTTTTTGAGGCGGTGAAGCCATTTTCAAGCTAGAAATGAAGAAAGAGTTTGTGCAAAAAGCATCAATTTGCAATGTACAAAATGAGAACAACAAGATCCATTTTCCTCAATCTTTAATTTATTAGGTGGCGAAACCATTTTTTATTCTAGAAATGAGGAATGAGTTTGTGAAAAAAGGTATAATATAAAATGTACAAAATATTTACAAAAGTTAAAAGGATAAAGTAAAAATAGTACTACAAGCCATTTATAAAGACTTGTGTGGTTCATTTCTTTTTCTTGATAAAAATTGTGTTCACTGCCTAGAGACATGACCCAGTAATTGATCTTACATCAAGGCATTAAAATAGTAGACTTGATACAATGAAAAAACACTTAAAATGATAATATTTTCGCTACTTGGTGGAAGAGGCAGCACTTACCTTGCAATAGTAACTCCTAGTTAATAAATGATATATCTTATTTGTCTAACAATCGTGTGGTGAAGAGATACGTCGTTCTTTTAACAGGATATATCAAACTGGTTTGCTGTGTTGTATGAATAATTGCTTATTAACATTTTGATAGGACAATATTGCTGATGTTTTGTTTCAACTTAAATTTTTGCTAGACTGCAGTTTAGCGGACACCGGAAGCGCTTCTAATCGCGGGCTCATTTTTGTTAAAGATAACAGGGTAGAGTTTGGGTCAGCGTCCAAGGTGTCCGCTAAACTGCAGTAGTCCCCAATAGGTTATATTTGACGTCCGCAATCACCAGTAAAGCGTATAAATGAATGATATTTTCAGCTGCAAGGTTTTGACTATAGTCACTAAACAAAGTGCAGATTATACGCTCTAAAGCACAGGTAATTGAAGAACAACATAAGTGTTGACTTTACTTAAAACAATTTTATTCGTGATCGTTCGCATATGCAACTATCACCGATGACACAGCCGAGGATATCACGACAAACAAACACTGCCTGCCTCACTGCCTCACTCAGACACTTTTTAAGTATGGCATAGTGGTTAGCCGTGCATGCACAGCAGCTACCCACAAAAACTAACTAGTGATAAATTATGTTATTGTTATAATACAGTATAACTACACGTCTACAACTGCTCCTCCCCCAAAAAAATGTTGTTGCTCCCCCAAATTTTACATTCTAGCCACATGCCTGCTCATATTGATAACACTTAAAGGGTGATTCCGTTTGAAGATGCTACGAGAATTTCTAAAAACCCAACAATTGATGAATGTCTTCTGCATGATGAGATAACGAAAGAAAAGTACAAATAATACACAAATCATTCATTACTTTTTCTATAAACTTCAATTTTGCAATTTTCATGTGTCCAAATGGGGAGGCGCCGGCCTCTATTATATTACTTGCCCAAGGTAAAATGCCCCCTTGCCTATCAACTCACGGCGGGCCTGGCCTGACAGTCTGTGAAATTTCTCGACTTTGTGTTGTTGCACGATTTAATTCATGTAACTAAAACAGTTAGACACGTTGGAAAACAAAACAAGTATCTTGATTTCAGTTTGTCAGTGTACATGCTAAATCAAAGTTTATCTAAGAATAAATTACGTGCAAAATGAATGATGATGAAATATATACGTTTGTAAATGATGATCGTCCAGGTTAATAAAGTCCTGAGAAGGACTATTTTTGATGTTGTTGACTGACGTTTCGACAACCTTAGCGGTAGTCATCTTCAGAGTCAAATGAGGAGTAAACGTCAGGTTAGCCGTATTTATTGTCTGGTTCTTACGTCATTGTATTGTGTGTACAGGAAATGTGCAGGAAATGTATTGTCATTGTGGATTAGTGTGAAGTGAAATATTTTATTTTTAGTTGTGATATGTGATTTAGGTGTGACGTTTTTAGTTGTAATGTGTCAATTATGTATTGTCATTGTGAATTAGTTTGAAGTGTAATGTTTTTAGTTGATCGTTTGTTTGTATTGTGAATAAGTCGTTTGTAAGGTGCCGGTAATTGCTGTGATCTGTTCAGGGGGGTTTGTTCCAAGTTGGTATACCAACTTTCTAATGTAAGCCGTTGTCTATAGTCAGTACTGTAAGTGATGCATTTTGCCGAGTCCCAGTCAATGTTGTGCTTTGTGATTCGGTGATGTTCGGCAATGTGATTAGTTTTGTCTTGTTTCTTAGTAGCTCGTTTGTGCTCAGTAAGTCTTATGTTTAAGTTCCTGCCAGTTTCCCCGATATAGGAGGCGTGGCAGTCGGAGCAGTTTATTTTGTAAACTGCACCTTGTCGTTCGTTGGGTTGTTCTTTGTCCTTTATGTTCGTTAGTACTTGTCGTAATGTTGTGATTGGTTTATGTGCGACACGTATGTTGTATGGTCGTAAGATACGCGAGATAGTCTCAGACGTACCTTTGATGTAAGGTATCGTTGCTGTTGTCACTGAGTTGTTCGTTTCGTTGGGTTCGTTGGGTTTGTAAGTGTTGCGTTTGATAAAGTCAGAGTTATAGTTGTTTTTGTCAAAAACACGTTTGAGATAGTTGTTTTCATTTTGTAGAGCGTCCGGTGAATCACATATGATTTGTGCACGTCTTGTTAATGTTCTGATTGTGGTGGCTTTGTGTGATGTAGGGTTGTAAGATGATTGGTCTAGTAGTCGGTCAGTATGTGTTGGCTTGCGATAAACTGTTGTTCCTAGTTTTTGATTGTCATGTTTAACCAAACAGTCGAGAAAAGGAAGAGTTCCGTTTTCTTCGACATCTTTGGTAAATTGTATGTGGCTGTTCTGTTTGTTGATGTGAGTATGTGGCTGTTCTGTTTGTTGATGTGAGTGTTCTGTTTGTTCTGTTTGTTGATTGATGACTTCCATACTCACATCAACAAACAGAACAGCCACATACAATTTACCAAAGATGTCGAAGAAAACGGAACTCTTCCTTTTCTCGACTGTTTGGTTAAACATGACAATCAAAAACTAGGAACAACAGTTTATCGCAAGCCAACACATACTGACCGACTACTAGACCAATCATCTTACAACCCTACATCACACAAAGCCACCACAATCAGAACATTAACAAGACGTGCACAAATCATATGTGATTCACCGGACGCTCTACAAAATGAAAACAACTATCTCAAACGTGTTTTTGACAAAAACAACTATAACTCTGACTTTATCAAACGCAACACTTACAAACCCAACGAACCCAACGAAACGAACAACTCAGTGACAACAGCAACGATACCTTACATCAAAGGTACGTCTGAGACTATCTCGCGTATCTTACGACCATACAACATACGTGTCGCACATAAACCAATCACAACATTACGACAAGTACTAACGAACATAAAGGACAAAGAACAACCCAACGAACGACAAGGTGCAGTTTACAAAATAAACTGCTCCGACTGCCACGCCTCCTATATCGGGGAAACTGGCAGGAACTTAAACATAAGACTTACTGAGCACAAACGAGCTACTAAGAAACAAGACAAAACTAATCACATTGCCGAACATCACCGAATCACAAAGCACAACATTGACTGGGACTCGGCAAAATGCATCACTTACAGTACTGACTATAGACAACGGCTTACATTAGAAAGTTGGTATACCAACTTGGAACAAACCCCCCTGAACAGATCACAGCAATTACCGGCACCTTACAAACGACTTATTCACAATACAAACAAACGATCAACTAAAAACATTACACTTCAAACTAATTCACAATGACAATACATAATTGACACATTACAACTAAAAACGTCACACCTAAATCACATATCACAACTAAAAATAAAATATTTCACTTCACACTAATCCACAATGACAATACATTTCCTGCACATTTCCTGTACACACAATACAATGACGTAAGAACCAGACAATAAATACGGCTAACCTGACGTTTACTCCTCATTTGACTCTGAAGATGACTACCGCTAAGGTTGTCGAAACGTCAGTCAACAACATCAAAAATAGTCCTTCTCAGGACTTTATTAACCTGGACGATCATCATTTACAAACATATAACGATACTCCCGGGTTCAAACCATTTACTTTATTATGAAATATATACGTTATCATGAGTTCATTTTGACCCCTGGAACCTAATCTTTACTTTACATTTGTACATTGTACTGTTTACTTAAGATTAATTTATTTGAAAAGAAATGTCTCATTATGACGTGGCATCTGTGAATGTCAAGCGCATCACTGACTCAGAATTATTTATTATCAAATCTTTTCTTAGTGTAAGAGCCGCAATTTTTATAGTGGATAATTTGAAACAAAAAATGAGACATACTTTCCAGTCGTGGTATTAATAATAGCTTTAAAAATCAATTATAGAAACATTCAAACGATTTTCATTAAGAATGGAAATAAACATTGATTCTCTTAGCATCTACCGCAGAGATCCCACGAGAGATACTACGCATGCGCACATTGGTCATTCTCTACGTAGCTCACCGCCATTACAGATGGCGTGTTTGGTCATATACAAATAATCCATAAAATCATTTGCCATCCTGCTGTGTAGAACGACAAAAAAGTTCTAAAAAACAATACAGGACAAAACACCTCCATAACCACTGAGTTTGCGCGGCAAACTCTTTTTCTGTGGTTAGATAATCTATTCAACAACAAATGGCACAAGTCAGCGAAGCAATTGAGCAAGCAGACGACCGGACGCTCTTGCATAACCATCCTAATCCGACGCTGTTGGGCTTATTAGGAGACGTGAATGTAGACGATGAACCGCAACAGAAACAGTCTCGTCTACAAGGGAAAATGAGCAAATCTGGTGGGGGCGGGTATAAACACCCTGCTAAAGCCAACAACAACAATCTCCTAGAAGAAGGAAATGACGGGAGAACTACTTTGGACGACCTTAACAGGAAAGTCGATCAACTTACTGGCTTGATGAATTCTTTTGCTCCTTTCGTAAAAGAGCTCAAGCAAGCTTATGATGCCGCACGTTAAATGAACGATGGTGATGTTATGTCTGAAGCTTAAACTGACGACGAACAATCAACCAACGGGGCTGCTGCTGTAGTTGCAGATACAGCTCCAGCTCTATTAAAACCAAGCGGTGCTTTGTTAGATGAGCTGATACACGTATTGACTGAGAATGAACCGACAGATCAACCATTGCCAACTAAAATTTCTAAAATCCTGAACAGCATTTTGTCCACAGGACTAAACGAACAAACATTGTCAAAACGGAAGGAAGGGGTAAAACGCCCCGAAAACTGTGACCTGTTACATTAAAGTAATGACCGAAAATACCACGTTCCTTACATATATTAACCACACGGAGGGCTGCCACTCTCACCATTGCAATAAAATTGCAAGGGAAATATGGGCGTGGGGCAGAATAAGGGACATATTGTTAACTGCTAGCTATATCCCTGGGAAAATTAATGTGGTGGCTGACGAAACTTCCAGAACATTTGATGAATCCAAAGAATTGGAGCTTGATGCTGAATTATTTCCTGAAATAGCAGCATATTTTGGGGCCCCAGAAATTGATATGTTTGCTTCTAGACTAAACTGTCAACTTAAACCTTATGTCTCGTGGCATCCAGATCCACAGGCGTGGGTTATTGACGCTTTATGCATTGATTGGAGTAAGTTCTTTCTTTATGCTTTTCCACCCTTTAGTGTTTTATCACAAGTTTTACAAAAAGTAGAAATGTCCCAGGCACGGACAATTCTTATCGTGCCGAATTGGCCAATTCAATCCTGGTATCCGATGCATGCAAGATTAATAATTCACCCACCCATTATCCTACCCAAAAACAAAAGCAACGTGAGCTTACCATCCAATCAAACAAAAGAATATCTACTCAAGTGGAGACTGAGACTGATAGCTTGTCTCTTATCCGGAGATCACTCTCAAGTAAGTGCATTTTACCACAGGCTCAAGCAAAAATACTTAATTCCTGGCGGCCAGAAACACAAAAACAGTATCAGGTGTACCTTAACAAGTGGCAACTCTATGTTAATAAACGGAATGCAGATCCCTTTCATCCAACTTTACAGGTAGTTCTAGACTTTCTACAGCATCTATTTGATCAAGGGATGAGTTACAGTTGTATTAACACTGCTCGAAGTATGTTATCTTCATTCGTTATTACTGAAGGCAATTCTACGATTGGTACACATTACATGGTTCAGAAATTTATGAAGGGAGTGTTCCATTCTAGACCAGCATTACCAAGATATCAAGTGACCTGCGACACCTCCATTGTATTAGAGTATTTAAAGACACATCCCGCAGTAGAAGACTTAACCCTACAACAGCTAACTCATAAGTTGGTAATGCTCTGTGCATTAGTCACAGGGCAGCGTGCCCAATCACTCCACTTCACGAACCTCTTAACTGTAAAGAAGGAAGAGGACTCATACACCTTCTATATCGACCAACTTGTCAAATAGTCTGGACCAAAACGCATTCATCCTACTTTAGTGATACCAAAGTTCCCTGCCGATCACAGACTATGTGTTGCCTCAGTCATGGAAGAATATTTTAAACGCACTGCTCCCATTCGTGGTGAGGAAAATCAACTATTTCTTAGCACAATTCGACCCTTTCATAAAGTATCAAAGTCATCTATATCTCGTTGGATAAAGGTTGTCATGCAAGCTGCAGGAATTGATATAGAAACGTTCAAACCACATAGTACACGAGCCGCAGCCACCAGTAAAGCGAAGCAATGTGATGTTTCGATAAACTCTATACTGAAAGCTGCAAGTTGGAAGACTGATTGCGTTTTTCATCGGTTTTACAATAAGAAAGTTGTGTCTCAGTGTGGCGATGTGTAGTTTGGAATGCCATTCTTTCAGCGTCCCAATAAGAAAGATATTGGATGAGAATTCTCTTTAGTTGAGCTTGGCAGGGAGTTCAGAACATATATACTTACATGTATAATGCAAGAGAAGGAAATACTTTAAATTCATATTTGTTACTATTTCTGGGTATGTTTGACACATCTCCAATTAAAATAAGTTTATAACGTAATGTCGTATTTGCTTGTAGGCATGAAATGTGTCCAAATGACTTTCAAATTTCGTGGGATCTCTGCGGTCGATGCTAATAGAATTAGGAAATTGAACGAGACTTGCCTGAAGTTGAAGTTCGATCGGGATTCTTTTAGCATCTACAGCGCAGAGATTACACGTCATGCTACTGCCTCCCTGCATATCGTTCATATGCACATTTAGGTAGTTCATGTGGCCACTATCTTTAAAATATGACCAATGTGCGCATGCGTAGTATCTCTCGTGTAATCTCTGATCTGTATGTGCTAATAGAATCCCAATGGGACTTTAACTTCAGGTAAGTCTCGTTCAATTTCCTAATTTGTTTATAGTCATACTTCATACTACGCAATGCTTCAGTATAAATATTGTTAAGTTAGAAATGTAAATACAAAATCTCGGTTAACTTACGTAAAATTACTTTTGTTTTAGAAGTAAGACTTCATATACTACGATCTTGTGGACAAAATTATGCGTGCTTTAGTTCTTTACATGTTACGTACCTAACAAAACATGAGAGATTTAATATAAAAAACGCGACTAAATACATATCAGTTAAAAAATGGTGATCATAATTCATACATTATTGAAACATAAACTTTTTATCCATATGAGTTTTGTTACATAAACACATTTAAATAACGAACGAAGATGAAGAGTGAGTCAGGATCTCCTTCAAAAAACAGTATTATAAAATATTGATGACATCTATGTAGAACATTCTAGTTATATAACTAAGTATACATCACTGACTAAAAACAATTGTTATAGAAATAAAAATACATAAATAAGAACCTCATGCAGAGTACATGATAACATTGAGATTTGTCAAATTTCAAAGGATTACTGCTAAATCTTATAAAGTTTAATAAGTTTCAACTCAGGAATAGAGTATCACCTATTTAAAATAGGATTTGAATGTGAATGATTAAGACACTATTTTGAATTTTTTAATGGATTTTTCCACTTCGTTAATCAAAAATTCCTTTATTGTAAAAGTCAGTTCATATTATAAAAAGACCTTTGTTATTGAATAACCCATTGTAAATTATCAATACATTTTAATTATCAACTACACGCAATTCTAATTACTTCTGATCAATAAAAAACACTATACATATAACAGTAAAGGTATATGTATAGTGTTTGAAAGTATGCAATGAAAGTAAACCTTAATACTATCAAACTAACATATGATCAAAACTATAATTTTGAAAGGTCTGTTCTGAAAGACTCAACATCTCACAAAAAATAGATTCGGTCGCGTTCTTCTTCTGTGTGTAAATACATTTTTCCCGAGCTTAACTTTTGCTTATTTTTTAACTTTTCTCACTTTTAAAAGAAATGGTTTGTTGTATACAACTATCAACATTTTGCTAGACACACAGAGATTAGTCAAAAGTGAAGTCAGCATAGAAGGAAGGTGATGCATGATAGGACATGTGCTCTACTTACATAAATTTTTACAGATCCCCTTTTTTCCATACATAAGTATAGTTTAGGAAGAAAAATTCAGCGTCCTACATGCAAAAAATGTTCTCATGTTATTCTGCCTCCCCCATAATTTTAAACAAGTTTTACTGTCCTTTACCATGCAGCTTATTGTCAATAGTTGGAAAGTTGGTGTATCAACTTAAATATGATTTCTCATGAATGTTTACTCAAACATTATCGAGATTCTTCAGTAGCAAATTTGTTTTGTAAAGTTAGTAATATACTTTCGGAAACTCGCTTTACTTTCGACAAATTACCTTTGTTTTAGAAGACCTCATATATGACGACAGTGTAGGAAAAATTATGCTTGCTTTAGTTCTTTCCAAGTCACATAACTTACAAAGATGAGAGATTTAATATAAAGAACACGACCACATACATATCAGATTAAAAATGTTGATCATATATCATACCTTATTGTTACATCAATCTTTTATCCATGTAAGTTTTGTGACATAAACACTTTTGAATAGCGAACGAAGATGAAGAGTAAGTCAGGATCTCCTTTAACAAACAATATTATAAAACATTAATAATATCTATGTAGAGCATTCTAGTTATATAACTAAGTATACATCACTGACTAAAAACAATTGTTATAGAAATAAAAATACATAAATAAGAACCTCATACAAAGTACATAATAACATTGAGATTAGTCAAATTCCATAGGACTACTGCTAAATCTCATAAAGTTTCACAAGTTTTAACTTAGGAATAGAGAACCACTTATCTAAGACAGGATTTGAATGCCAATGATTAAGACACGATTTTCGAAACTGTGAATGGTTTTCCCCTCATTAATGAAAAATCTATACATGTATATTCTTGCATAAGTAAGTTCATATTATTAAAATCTTTGTTATTGAATAAACCATTGTAAATTATGAATACATGTCAAACATCAACTGCACGCATTTATAATTACTTATGTTCAATAAAAGACACTTTAGATACAACAGTAAAGGTTGCAATGAAAGTAAACCTTAAAACAGTTAAACAAACATTATCAAAAGTATAATTTTAAAAGCTCACTGTGCTGCATGAATCAACACTTCACAAAAATAGATTCGGTTGCGTTCTTTCTCTGTGTAAATACATTCTTCTTGTGTTCCACATTTGCTTATTTTACAAATGTTCTTACTTTTAAAATGAATGGTTTGCTCAATACAATTAACAACATTTTGTTAGACACACAGCGATTAGTCAAAAGTGGCGTCGGCAAAAAAGGGAGGTGATGCATGATTGGACATGCTATCCTCCCTATATAAATTTTCACTGATCCACCTTTTTCCATAGACAAGTATAGTTTATAAAAAAAATTAAGCTTCCTACATGTAGAAAATGTTGTCATGTTATTCTGCCTCCCTCATATTTTGTCTGTACTATTGAACAGTGGGCCATATTGAACGTTAGGGAAACAAGCTACCATCATACCAATTAGCTTGGCCACTTCCCGTATGCTAGAAGAGTCAGATTTTAGCACACCCTGGCAACCTCGCATAATTTGTTGTGTTTCTCTATGGATATAGAGATAGTCATATCTATTGAATTTAACACAAACCCTAAATGTTGTAAAATCTGTGTGGGTTCTGTAACAGATTTATCTTTATGGGGTACGAATCCTAACTTCTGAAACAATTGTATAGTGTCATGTACGTTTTGCTCCCATTCTGAATAGGAGTAGCCCATTAAAAAAGAGTCATCAATGTAACCGCTAGAAATGTGCCCAAGCTTCCTCAGCTTAGAATATACATGCTTGAGTATCTTTGTAAATAAACGGAAGATAATTCTTGAGCAAGATATGTGAATTGGTACAGATTTTACCTTTCTACATAATTTTTAAGTATTTTTGATGCTCTATGTGTATTGGTATTGAGTAATAGGCATCTCTAAGGTCAACGGATGCCATGTAGCAACCAAGTCGCATGAGCTGAGTACAAGTATGGATAGATTCCATTTTAAAGTGGTGATATGTAACAAATGCGTTGAGCTCTTTTAGGTTAAATATCATTCTAAAAGATCCATCTATCTTTGCTCTAAGAGAGATATTGGAGATAAACTCGCCCTGTTCATGCATGCTTGTAACAATGATACCTTTCTCTAGAAATTTTGTAACTTGACGATCGACATTTTGAACTTCCGAAGAAGAGATTTTTATAGAGTGGGGTTGTTTTAGCTGGACTGGGTCTATAAGAAAATCAACCTTGTATCCGCTTACAGCTGATAAAATGGAAGAATCGTGATTTAACTCCCTGCACTTCCCAATAAATTGTTGTATCCGGCCTGCAACTATACTACAATAATTGTCTCCCCCAGATATGACAGAAGTACTACACTTCTACGTTTACTATAACGTACATGGTCAAGAGGAGGAGTCACTGCTTTCTTAGTGTTTTCCCTCCTGTCTCGACTTTACTCTTGGGTTGGTTTTGATAATAGTTGTGTCGTTGGGCTCGGTTTTGCAGATGACGTTGGAATAAAAAAGGTACATTGGAATTATATGAGATGGTCGACCGTTGATCGTTGCGCTTCCGTTTTTGGCTTGTCAGTTGCTGTGCGGCCTTTTTGCTTTCTTTTACTGTTTTCAGGCGTTCCTTTACATCCTCACTAAACAGTTCTGCAGCAACAGGTTCTTTGTTACTACAGATTGCCTTGTAATTTTCATCAAGGTCAACTTTTAACAAGTCTCTGCGGCACAGGTGAGCAAGGTAGAGAATGACCAATTTGCGCATGCGTAGTATCTCGTGGGATCTCTGCGGTAGATGCTAATAGAATTGCACAATATTTGCGAGAGTTAATTATTCGTTTGTAGATTCATTCTCTTCGTAATGTATTGCACTTTGTTGCAGTTTAAATAACATACAAATCCAAGAAACCGTACTTCTAACTTTGTATACATGATATATTTCAACGGAATCAGCCGTTCTTGAAGTGACTTGGGGTACACGTGGCAGTAATTTTACGCTTGTTTGGTTTGCCTTCATCGTTCACTATACATTTACAGCTTTGTTAGTCGCTTGTGAGAATTACCGGTCATATTTCCGGTTATATAAAAACAGTTACAACACCACCTTCTAGTTGCTATTTTCAGAAACAATTACTCAACGCTTTTAATTGTTTTGATGGCATGATGCAAACACTTAAGAATGTTGCTAGAGTTAGGAAAAGCGGTGCAAAATACTAGCCTTCGTCTTGCGTTTCGCACACTTTTCCTAACTCTCTGTTAGTTCCCGTGTAATTGGATCAGACCATCTAAATATGGATGGCGTTTAATAATTGTTTAATCTGCTTCGCCTGATCCACATTAAAAAGTCAACTAAAGAATGTGCAAATCGAGCATTGTTTGAATTTGCTCTTCCGAACATAACAAAGTACTTGGACGTTCCGCGTTGAGAAATCTCACTCAGGAACGCACCCCCTGTACATACTAGAGCACTTCTTGAAATATTGAAATTAGCTAAATGTAACACGTGAACACCGAGTGCACTTTTTTGGAATATTTTGTGCGTGCTGTTTTTCGAATTTGTTAAGTATTTCTTTGTAATGGAATTGCAGAGTTGATATTATATCCGTGCCACTTCGTTTTAAATTTCATGTTTTTCAAATGCTTAGTGAGAGCGTTCGAATTTTTTATCATAGGGTTGGAATAAAAATTCAATGTTTCGATGTCAAGCCTTGCGCACACTTTTTCAGAGTGTAAGGTTGATTCTAAAGAATTTTCTCTAACGAAAGCAAATATGATTGTGCCTTCTAATTTGAAGAGGAATATGGACATTGTACTTTGCAAACCAGACAAAGGCTCTGGTGCAGTGATTTTATATAGGGAAGACTATAATGGCAAAATGCTAGACATTTTAAACGACGAGAAAAAAGTTTGCACGCTTGGAAACTTGCCAGATTGCGATAAAACCTCTTCACTAGATAGGAGATTACAAACACTTCTCTTAGAGTTAAGAAAGTCAAATAAAATCAGTGAGAATTTTTATAATTTAGTTCGCCCAACCGGTGCAGATTTTTCAAAATCCACAAAGAGGGCGCTCCACTCCGACCAATTCTTGCCATGATCAACTCAGCTCATCATGAGTTAGCTAAACAACTGTCAGTTGTACTTTCACCTGTTTTAGAGAAGTTCTCTTCTGTACCAGAAGAAGAGAAGTTCTCGGCTGTACCACACATGTCCGAGAAAGCTTTTAGAGAATTAGTGTTAGCGGCCACTAGAGTTAGTTTTAATGATATTACGTACAAACAAATTGATGGGGTGGCTATAGGTTCTCCTCTTGAACCAGTAGTTGCCACTATTTTCATCGACTATTATGAGTGTAAGATGTTTGCCTCTTCTGAACCTCCAGAAGTGCTGTGGTACAAGCGTTACGTTGACGACACCTTTTCCCTTTTTCGATTTGACAAAAATCACCAATTATTTTTACATAAACTCTGTTCTCTTCACCCTTCTTTAAATTATACGTCTGAACATGAATCAAATTGTGAGTTAGCAATTTTAGATGTTCTTGTCCATACGCAATGGCCAATTCCTTCTTAGAATTCATTGCAAGGCAACTTTTACAGGTTTGTACACATGCTTTGATCTTCTTCTTCACACTGAGAAAAGATTTTTTTATTAAAGTCATTAATAAAGCGAACGCTTAGACTGTCATCAGAGGAGTTCATTGAGGGTGATCTCAACTCATTGAAAAATATATTTCTCTCAAATGGATATCCGGAAAAAATGCTTGATAAACTTTTCTCATCTACAAAAAAAATGAGCAGAATAGGCCTTTTGGACCAGCTAAGTGCCCTGTGTCTATTAAACTTCCATGGATGGGTAAGGTTTCTGATGATATTAAGAGGAAAACTAAGAATATTACAGAGAATTTTCTTTTGCGAGCAATGTTATCTTTATATTTTTGAAAAGAACTATTCTACCACCCAGCTCAAAAGAATCTTTACCGGCAGAACTTTTAAGCAATGTAATTTATGAATATAAATATGTGTGCGATGTTCGCTGTGTAAGTAGAACGTCTCAAAGGTTGGGTGATAGCATGAAACATCATGTACCAACTTCAATCAGAAATAGAACGATTCCATCAAGACAACAACCAAAACGTGATTGTAAGAAAAATAATTTAGTTTAATGTGACTCCGCGATAGGTAAACGTCTCTTGAATAACTCCCATTGTGCTGATTCCTCTTCCGACGACAATTTTAGAATTATTAAGAAATGCCGTTCATTCTTTCAAGTACGCGTCATGGAGGCTGTTTTGATTAAGTTAACTAATCCCGTCCTCTGCCGACAAAAGGATTATGTTTTCAATTCATCCTTGTTTTGAGCGTCATCTCCCCATTTGGAGATGACGTACATTCTTTCTTGGCTTTACAAATATCGGTAGATTTTAAATTTTCATTTAGCAGACATTGACATCTAAGGAGTGGTCTCCCAAA